ACGTGCTTGCTACTAGCTAGGTAGCTAACTTGATCCCAGCCAGCCACTCCTGGTCCTTTCATCAGACGGGAAGCTAAAGAATGAGTAAGACCCATTGCTGGTATGATTACAGCCTGGTACAAAGCACACAGGCATATTGTAAAAGTTATCTTAGCTATCTCTTATATTTAGTTGGAGGAAAACAATTTATGACATCACTTACGCAACTCTGGGGGTTTGTAGTCTTTCTAGTTGCGTACTTTTCATAGCCTTATATTTCAACAGTTTTACGACTAAACTCGTTGAGTATTTTGACATGGAAATTATTTTTTAAGATTGACAAACATCATATGTGTAATTCATGGCACAATTCAAACGGGATCGAAAGATAAGTTTTCTCTCCCCATTGACTTCAATACATAATTTTTCCGAAATAAGGTCCCATCGGGCGGAAGTAGAAGGGCGGGACTTAGTGCCACAGTGACACGTCCTAAAACCCGGAAGTAAACTCCTTCCGGTTCCTTCGACAAAAACGCAATGCAATTTCTCCATAGGATTTTGGAAAATAGCTCGTAATAAGATCTGTGGTTGACACACATTTAAGAGACGGAATCACATTTGTTCAGCCGGATAATATTCACATGTCTATCCTACTTTTATAATTTTAGAATCATAAATCTAGTCGCCAGAAGCAAAATGCTAACGTTATGCTATAAACGAACTACAGCAGGTTCGCTGCTTCAACGTCACGCCAACTTAAGATCCATATTCAAAAGTACAGATTCAAAATTGTACAAGTTGAAGCGTTTGTTTTTAACAGTTTGCAGGAGGCAAGTACTTGCTTTGAAGCAGAACACAGGGAAAAACAAACTTAGCGGGAGTGTTTACGTGTTCGGTGTAATGACGTAAAACGGCCTCGACAACTTCTGCAGTCCTATTCAGCCACTCTGTAACAACCATCGTTTTTCAGACACGTTAACTCATCAAAAATCACCAGTGGGGTCACTGCTGATGTATTTAATGTCGTAGAAGAAAATGTGATCCGTCTCTTAAATGTGTGTCAACCACAGACCTTATTTCCACCTATTTTCCTAAATCCTATGGAGAAATGGCATTGCTTTTTTGTCGAAGGAACCGGAAGTGGTAAAATGCTAACTTACTTCCGGGTTTTAGGATGCGTCACTGTGACACTCTATTTAAAAGGGAAATAATAGCATCTGAGTCACTAGTTAATAACAGAAACATTGAAATTGTTAATGGTTGATGTATAGGCTGGGTGTGATGGGGTCAAGGACAATTTTACCTTTGAGTGATAGGAGTCGTTAAGCTGCAGTCACATGACAAGCAGCTTAACCCTAACCCCTAACCCTTGTATTTATATGGAGTGAGCAGTGCTTTAATACTTTTTTTTTATTTTTTTAAAACAATACCCTGAAGAAGTTCAGATGGTTGCCTAGCAACGTATGGCATGTCCTGCCTTCCCTTGAAAAGTTGGCACAAGACTAGATATCCAGGGCAAAACATGCTTTCCTTAACCATATTTCACATCAATTAACACTTTTAATTCTATGTTGTTGAGATGGCTTCACTTCATCTCAGTGGTATATCATTGCTGTCTTGTTCTCTGTTACTCCAGGGTTACCTGTTCATTTCAGTGCTGGTAAACAGCAACAGTGAGCTGATTCGTCTGATCAACAACGCCATCAAGAATGACCTCTCCAGCCGCAACCCCACCTTCATGTGCCTGGCACTTCACTGTATTGCTAACGTGGGAAGCCGTGAGATGGCTGAGGCTTTTGCCAGTGAGATCCCTCGGATCCTGGTTGCTGGGTGAGTTCCAGCTGTCTGTGTTGTGTTGTTTTGGGCCCAAGGTTAGCCAATCCCCCTGAGAAATAGTATTTAATTTATATATTTTTCAAGGTAGTGTATCAAAAGGTAAAAGATCCAACTAGTGACTTCTGCTTTGTGAGTGTTAAGGAAGTAAAATCAATGACATCATCCTGATTTTCTTCTCTTTTGCTGAGTGATGAAGCCAAGGCAGTTTTCTATCATTTACAACCCTGACTTCACTTAGCTGCTGGTAACGTTAATGTGCTGTACCACAGTGATACCATGGACAGTGTGAAGCAGTCTGCTGCCCTGTGTTTGCTGCGCCTCTATAAGACCTCTCCTGACCTGGTTCTGATGGGGGAGTGGACCTCCCGGGTGGTGCACCTGCTCAATGACCAACACATGGTGAGTGCACAATTCAGACCCCAGTACACCAGTAATGTGGTCACATAATGCAGTGTTGTTGTGCCTGTTTGATCATGAATCTATATGACATTTTTATGAGTTTTCTCATATGAACTGACCTTGATCAACATCACAACATATTTGTTTTGTTATAAATACATTTTTAATCGAAGACACTAGTTTCACCACAATATCAATGGATATATCTATGGGATTATTAATCATCTTATTGTGAGTATGTTTCTGTGTTCAGGGTGTGGTGACAGCAGCCATTTCCCTCATCACCTGTCTGAGCCAGAAGAATCCAGATGAGTTCAAGACCTGCGTTTCACTGGCCGTTTCCCGACTTAGCAGGGTGGGTGTGTGTGCTTCCTGAATAATAAATTGTAAAAATAAACATTTTATTTAGATTGTGTTGCTCTACATTAACAACAAGCATTCCTCTCCATTTACAATGTTTCCTGAGCATTGACGGCATTGTTTTCTATGAACTTCTGATACTGTTTAAAAGCAAAATTATGGGAAAGTAAGCTGTGCTTTGCAAAGACAGTGAGGCAGTCTCTGGCACATATTTAGCTTGAATTAGCTTTAATTGCTACAACTAGTTCTGTTGGCTCGGCAGATTGTGTCCTCGGCCTCCACTGATCTGCAGGACTACACCTACTACTTTGTCCCGGCACCCTGGCTCTCCTGCAAGCTGCTGCGTCTGCTGCAGTGCTACCCTCCACCAGAAGATGGTGCTGTCAAGGGTCGTCTGGTAGAATGTCTGGAGACCATCCTGAATAAGGCACAGGAGCCACCCAAGTCCAAGAAGGTGCAACACTCCAATGCCAAGAATGCAATCCTGTTTGAGGCTATCTCACTGATCATACACTATGACAGGTGAGTGTTCCGACTCTCATTAGCTGACACATACAAACAGTCATAGTATTGAATTCAGTAACTTAGCAGTGTAGCACCTTTAGTGTATCCTCTGCAACGTGAGAAATGACTGGAGGTATTACGTATGTAAACAAGACTCTATCTTCCCTTCACTGTATTACAATAATTTTGTATTGGTATGATTAATTTACTATATTTTTTATTATTTTTTTATGTTATTATAGTTTTCTTAAAATAGTTCTATCTGTGTTTTTAATTTTAGTTTTATGTATGCACCAATGACATCAAGTCAAATTCCTTGTACGTGTCAACCTACCTGGTAATAAACCTGTTTCTAATTCTGATGAACTAGTGTGAAATCTAATTTCTGGTGTGTTCACATTGGAGGCGAAGTGATTGTGTGAGGATCTCAGTTTGTCATCACTGAACATCACAAAACAAAACCCCAGCCGTTGGCTCAGGGCGATGGCACACAGAGCTCTCAGTTCCAGTTCCTTCCAGACTGTCTGAGGCATGGCAATTTGCGGCTTCATTTATGTCTATATGTTGTTATTGTGAGTGTGGAGGCTTGTGGATACACTCGCCAAAGCATTCATTCATTGTTTTCACTAGCTGGTATTAGTATATCATTATTTCCGCATCAATTTGACTCTAGTTTTATAATTAAGTCAGTCAACATAAGTAAATGTTGTTGTTGGTATCAACATTAAGATTAGCCCCGCCTCCTCGCCAGCGCGTATAGTTTGTGTGACGCTAGTAAAGACAAATGATGCCGCGGTCAAACTCGCACGAGTAATGCAATGTCAATCTTCCGGAGGGAACGCGCATTTGAACTTAACTGAAGCCTGTTGACAGTGCAGTAAGTTTGGCTGTGTGTTCTGCAGCGAGCCCAACCTGCTGGTGCGAGCCTGTAATCAGCTGGGCCAGTTCCTGCAGCACAGGGAGACCAACCTGCGCTACCTGGCTCTAGAGAGCATGTGCACCTTGGCCAGCTCTGAGTTTTCCCATGAAGCCGTCAAGACACACATCGAGACCGTCATCAACGCCCTCAAGGTACTGTCTCACTGTCAGAACTAAAGATAGTCTCTTACCAGTGTGAGCAACTTTTTTCAAGCAGCATAATTCTACCAACCACCAAGTCGTCCCATGTACATTTTCCCTTCACAAATCAGCATAGCTTTCAAAAGTTACAGGCTAAGTGTGTTGTACTGTCCAGTAGCACACAGATATACAGTTGTCTTTTGGTCTATCTATACTTCTGTCACCTTTTCCCCTTCTGTTTTGTCACTGTTTGTCTCTTTGTAACTCTGCAGACTGAGAGGGATGTGAGTGTTCGACAGAGGGCCGCTGATCTGCTGTATGCCATGTGCGATCGCAGCAATGCCAAGCAGATCGTAGCTGAGATGCTCAGCTACCTCGAGACAGCAGACTACTCAATCAGAGAGGAGATGGTGGGTTTGAAAGACTGTTCCAGGTTTTAATGCCACGCTATGTTCAGTTTTTTCACCAGATGTGAAGGCTAAATTCCTCTCTTAACATAGAAGGTGGTTTGTTTCCACCAGTTGCATGTTGAAAATTGCAGTCTTCAATATAGAAAAAAAGATTCCAGTAGCCTTACAATTTACCCAACATATTTAAAGTCTTCAAAGTGATTGAGCTGTTATTTGCTATGCCTTCCTCATTCAGGTGCTAAAAGTAGCCATACTTGCAGAGAAATATGCCGTGGATTACTCCTGGTACGTGGACACCATTCTCAACCTGATACGCATAGCTGGAGACTACGTCAGTGAAGAGGTGTGGTATCGCGTCATTCAGATCGTCATCAATCGAGACGATGTGCAGGGCTACGCTGCCAAGACGGTCTTTGAGGTAACACTACACAAAATCATAAAATGTAACTTCTGACCACAGCAGTAGATTGAAATGCAGGTCTTTAGCTGAGAGGGAAACGGATTGAATGTGATGGACACTAAAATGTCTTTTGCATTTATCTAACGATTATCAAGTAGTGAAAAGTGACATAGATTGTCTATTCAGATACATAATCTAATGTAGTGAAATATTTTTTTCTTTCTTTGCTAATTGAAAAAAATTAATAGAGTAACATCTTTTATATTTCAACATTTTTATATAAGCAATACTAACTTGAAGTCTGTTATCAACCTATGTTATTAAAGGAAACTTCTGTTTGTTTTCTACATCATTGAGTCCTTTTTTTAATGGTTTAGGATTATTTTCTTTTTTATCATAACGTTCAACCCACCAACGTCACATCTGAGCGATACAGTAACTAAGGGAGACAACCAGTGTTTCTACAATAGACGTTTATGATCAGATTGCAGATTATCTCCTGGTTTCAACCTTAACCTGCAGTTGTTCCAGAAGGTCTCCATGTCCACAATAGTTACGCTGCATTTGTTTTCTTTTGTGTGAATTGTGAAGTATGTTGACAAAGAAGAAGCATTTTCTTTGACCTTTTTATCATTATAAAGAAACTCATTAACATTTCTGCTCATCATGGAATGTATTAAAGGTCTTCTCTTATACTATTTTTAGGCATATATTATTGGTCTCAGATATATCAAAAACACGTCTATGAAGTGTTTTGCTCACAATACCAAACAGATCCTCCATTCTAGCCATGCCTCATACCCCTCTGTTTCAGCCCTGTTAGACGAGGGATACTCAGCTAAACACTACCGTGATGAAACGCCATATTATGTTCCAAACCACATCAAACATTATTTCTGAAACGGTATAGAGCGCAAATGCTTTTTCTTACCTTTTTATATCCAGCTTCTTTACACATACTCTCTCAAGAACAGGTTAGCTCTGAGAGTTAGCAATGCTTGCTAATGTAAACACAGACCATATTACTTCCAAAAAACGTTGCACATTGTTTCTGATACAGCTACGTTTCTGACAGGGCCGTGGGCGTAAAGCCAGCCCACATTTCCGATATTACGTCATATCAGCAGCAAACCTGTATCAGCTCCGTTGTACCCTCGTTTTTAGAGATGTGGGTACGGAGGAAAAGAGAGAGGGTTGTATTTTCTGACACTTTGTGAGTCTACTGACCAGGCTTGGAATATCGTCATTTTAGGGGCAAGGCCATTTGGCCTTTGGTGTCACACATTTTTTAAGGGCACAAAGGCCACATGCCAGGGCACAAAGGCCATTGAGGGAAACATTTGGATTTGGAGCTTACAAATAAATAACTTCACTTTTTGATAAGAAAAACACACTAATGACATGCAAAACAAATCACTGTTTTAATATCAATAATGTCAAACATAATATCATCATATAGGCCTATGCCTCCTTAGTATTACCGTATATAAAATAAAATACTGTACTTTGAATAATTAGTGTTTAGTATGTTTTCCATCTACTACTCCCATTCACAAGTCAAATCAAAAAGTCTAAAATTATATTAATATGTAACAAATATATTCAATTTCAGAGCAGAAGAAACAGCCTTCAAGGGTCAAACTCTGCACATACATTGTGTGTGTGTGTGTGTGTGTGTGTGTGTGTG